AAGTAAAATTTAATATATATATATATATATATATATATAATTTTATAATTTGTGAGAAGAAAAAGAAAAGAGCGTACTGTTATTTAATAAAAATGCAAGTGGTGAAAAAAGAAGCATCTCTTTCTTGAAGGACTTTCCGACGTTAACGAAATCGAAAAGCAGTGAATTATCTCGGGTGGAAATAGACAGCGCGGGGAGTGGAAAAGAAAAAGAAGAATAATTAGTATTAGTATTAGTATTAGTATTAGTATGGTTAATGATGAGTTTAGGGTGGATGGGTGCAAGCGTTTTGATGTTTTTAGGATTGTGAGTAAGTTTTAGCATGAGGAGTGAGAGTTTGGCATGAGAAAGAGAAAAGGGAAATGAGAATAATAGAAGTAAAAGGAAAGTGTTTCCAGAAAAGTCGAATCCAAGAGTACGGGAAGAGGGCCAGCTTTGCCTCTTTGGTTCGCCAAACGCCCAATGCCCTTGCAACGCTGTACCTCGTATTTATGACCCTCACTCTCCTCCCTCTGCGCGTCTTCCACGCACCAACTTCTTTTCTCCTTTTTTTCTTCCCCAAACTCACTCAATCATTCTTTCACACCACTACTTACTTCTTTTTTTATACATCAAATTCAATTATCTAATTCATTCTAATTTTTATAATTAATTATTTAAAATTATAAAAATAGTCGCAATAAAAATTCAACTTAAATCTCATACTTCTAATTAATTTAATTTATAATAATAATAATTTTATATTTTTTTAAATTATCTTTATATTATTTCTTTTTGTTAATATCTATGTATTTGCTAATTAATTGAAATAACTTTTTTAATTAATACTCTTCTCTTTTGATTCATTAGAGTGTATGTCTTTTAAATAATTTATAATTAATATATTTTATCAAATTAAAAAATATATTTTAATTAAAAATATTCTATTTTAAAAATAATTAATATATGAAATAAATTAAATTAAATTTAATATAAAGAAATAAATAATTTTTGTAAGTTAAATCTTATAAATAGAAATAAAGATAATATTTTTTAACTAAATTTTATATATTTTTTCATAAAGTATTTTATCTTCAAAAACATTTTTTTTTCAAAAAATATAGTGTTTGAACATTTAATTGGTTTAAGAAAATAAAAGGTAAAAAATATGAAGAAAATTATATTTTTTAGGAATAAAAAATGTGAAACCCAATAAGTTATAAGTTTACATTAAATATATTCGTATTTATCAAATATAAGTTAACTTAATTAACTTATAAGATAAAATACTTTGAAAATAGGATGATAGTTTTTTTTGAATTCAATTAATTAACTTATAAATAAATATATCCATTTACATTAATCAAATAATTTATCAAATATTTTGAATTCAATTAATTAACTTATAAGTTTACAATTTTCAATTCTTGACTTGTATAGCTCATAAGTTTTAATCAATTTATTATAAGTTAACTTTATTAAATACAACCTTAATATTATATTAAAAGAATCTTTAAAATATTCGTATTTTTTGGTTATTATTTCAGCTAAATAAACTAATAATAAAAACTTTCTTTATTTTTTTATAATCACATTATTAGAATGGAGAATCTAATAATTTTATTGATGATTAACCTTCATCAAAAAATTTGATTCATCAATTTTAGCAAAACTTCTCATCATACAATCATGTTTTTATCTTCTCTGTTTTCTCTTTTTTTTTTATCCATATCACTCATAGCTAGCAATTTCTATATCTGTAATTTACAAATGGTATGTTCGTTATATTTGTATTTCTTTCACTTTTTAATTATAATATTATCACCTTATCTTTAATTTGTTTTTGGTTTTTAAAAACTTGTAAAATAATAGATGAAAAATAAAATAAGTTATTTATAATGTTTTGTACAGTTTTAAAAATACAAAATAATTTGAAAATAGGATGATAGTTTTTTTTATTAAAATTTGAAAATAAAAAATATGAATACAACTAAACAGATCCTTAATTTTCTAGTTAGGCCTGAATGACTTGTTTTATACTCACGTGCAAGAATGATAATAAGACAGAACAGGTACATGTATTAGCATTATTTCACCGGCCCCGTATTATACATGTATTTATTGAGTGGGCATTCACAAATTTATTCGAAGAATAAAAAATTTGTTTTGAAACATACATTAATACTGAAAAAAATGATTTTGTAATATATATTCGTACTTATAAATAAATATCTTTGAAATATATATTTCTCTTCATCCCCCTAATGATTAAATATCCATTAAACTTCAGTTTTTTTTAAGAACAACCATCAGTCTTTATTCGTAACGATTTTTTTTTTCTTTTTATCATTTATGGTCAAGGCATCATTTACCTGCTTTATCTATGCAAGGAAAAATTATGATGGTACTAATATTTTTTTAATGTTAATAATTTAATCAAACAATGTTAGCAACTCAATTTATTGTTAATACTTTCTATCACAAATATTGAAAAGAGACTCATTAATAAGATGCAAAACTCACAAATATGTGATTTTTTAATAAATTTTAATTAATAATAGAAAAATGACAAAAAAAAAGCTCTTAGCATATCTCTTTTAATGATATTCCTACGAATATTTAATTAGTATATTTTTTTATATAGAAACAATATGTGATATTTTTAAATTTATAAGAAATACAATATATTTAATCATGATTACTAATTACTTTTTTTCCCCTTTATTTTCCCTCGCATAAAACTCGCTTTAAATTTGGCTTTCATTCTTAAGTTTTACCTCCTATGATTAAAAGACACTCAACTAGGGTAGAAAATGGATTTTGCAAATTATTTAGATTTTAACATATTTTTGCTCTTCTTTCCGATTAGGATTGTCCAATTAGTTTGGTTGTTATATTAAGAATTGATCATTCAAGGTACTGTCTGAATTAATTGATTGCCGAACAATAGTACCGTGATTAATTAGTGGAACCATGTAATTAATTGAATAAGAAGTTATACAAAGGCCAACTAGTAACCTTTTTTTATCGATCATTTTATCAAATTAGATTAATTAACCTCTTAGTAGTTCATGTAAATTTGTTACTCTTTATGCAAAACAAATTATAAAAAACAATAATTATTATAGTTTTGATGATGCATTAAAGATAATATATTTGATTATCTAAAGTTAAAATATTTTAAAACATATTTTGTCTATCTTTATTTTATGATGAAGACTTTATATTCGATTATTATATCTTATTGGGTTCTAAAATCATAAGATTTTATTAGAATTTCATCCTATTACTGGGTAACATATTTTGGTATTTAATCAAAGTCATTAATGATTATATTTGGTGTACGGTATGAGTCCTTAATCAAAAAAATGATGAACTATTCTATGTATAGAAATCAAGTTGATTACATAAAATAATTTTCTAAAAAAAAAAATTCTCATATAACACATCTTGGTTACAAGTCAAAATAGTTCACTTGCCTATCAGCTTATAACATAAAGTGCATAAAGGCAAAATCAAAGAATATCATGAAAACACATCGATTACAAGCTGAGATAGTCTACTTACTTACCAAGTTATAACATGATGTGAGGCTAAGGCAAATAATATCCCAAATAATACATCTCGAATACAAGCCCGGATAGTCCACTTGTCTACTAACTTATAGCATTAAATGTGTAGAAACTAAGTAAAATAATATATCGAATAACATGTCTTGGTTATAGGTTGGGATAGTCCACTAAGGTGAAAGCATAACAGAAAGTTTCCAAGTTTTGAAATATGAAGTACGGGCATGATTTTGGCCAAGATTCTAAGTCGATTTTATGGGTGATAATCAGGTTGTTTAAAACTTAAACGACTTTTTGAGTTAATTTTGTGTGTGATTGGATTGTTTTCAATTTACACGTCTTTTCAAATCATTTTTACACGTGATGGTTGGGTTGTTTCCAACTTACAAGTCTTTCTAAGTCAATATTGTGCATGTTTATCAAATTGTTTTTTACTTACACACCTTTATGAGTCAATTTTGTATGTGATGGTCAAATTGTTCTTGACTTACACGTCTTTCCAAGTCAATGTGTGATGATTGAGTTATTTCTAACTTACACATCTTTTGTGAGTCATTTTTATGTGTGATGGTCAAATTGTATTTGATTTACATGTCTTTCCAAGTCAATTTCGTGCTTGATGATCAAGTTATTTTTAACTTACACATCATTTAAGTTGATATGTAATGGTTAAGTTGTTTCTTACTCATTATTATAATTCAAATAAATTTAATAGTTCAATAATTATAATTAATTTCAAATGCGAATAGGAAAAAAAATAATGCGTACAGTATAATTGGATCATCATATTTTTTAATGGCTATTATTTTTTCAAATTTCCTTATTTATTTATTTTAAAAAATATAAATAAAGACAGTCTTTGAAAGTTACATGGAGAGAAGTAGAATATTTATATAAAATATAATAAAAAAAGTGATATAAATAATATTCATCTAATATATTTTATGACAAAATCTATTCCACCAGCTTATCATTTTTTTCTTCACTATTTTAGTTATCTAATTTTTAATAAAAAGAGTAATAAGTAATAAGTAATTGGATAACAAATAAGTAAGAAAAAAATTATTCATTTATTATTAATTAGTAATAAATATAATATGTTTAGGATTGTCATATAGCTTAGAGGAAGAGCTAAACTCTTGATTTGTGTGA